GTCGCTGAAAATGCACATGTCCCATTGTTTTTTCTAGAGACACATTTGATTTTTTTAAATCATGTATTTAAATTTAAAACATTGTTTGTTTGTTTGTTTGTTGTGGATGTGGTGCATACATACTGAGGCACACCTGTGGAGGCCAGGGGACAACTGTCCTTTCACCATGGAGGTCCCAGAGACTGAACTCAGGATGTCAGACTTGGTGGCAAGCCCCTCCTCCTGCTAAGCCATCCCACCTGTCCATTTAGTTTCTTCTGACTTACAGTTTAAAATAGATACTAAATTAATGCACTCGCCAATGGTGCAAGGTTTAGTCGCAGGCTTCTGTCAGCTAAAACATCTGCAAGCTCCATCCACAGCTCAGCATTTGTGACTACTGCAACACCTTTTGTGACTGCATAATATTCCATTGTGTAGACACACCACATTTCAACCACTGGCTTGGGTTTACATTCTCATCAGCATCACTGGAGAGCTGCAGCTTTTTTACATCCTCAGAAACACCTGTTGCTTTGTATGGCTTAAAGCTGCATTGCCCCGACTGCTAGTGATGCTGAGCATTCGGGGTATGTGTGTGCATGCATGCATGCATGCATGCATGCGTGCGTGCGTGTGTATGTGTGTGTGAGAGAGAGTGTATGTGTGTGTGAGAGAGTGTGAGTGTGTAAGTATGTTTGTGTGAGAAAGACAGATGGTGTGAGTGTGTGTGCATGTGATAGTGTGAATGAATGTGTGTGAGAGTGTGTATAATAGAGAATGTGTGAGTGTGTGTGAATGTGAGTCTGGAAGAGTGAGTGTGTGTGATAGTGTGTGTGATTAGAATGAGTGTATGTATAAATGTGTATGAGTGCAAGAGACTGTGTGTGAGAGAGAGAGAGAGAGAGAGAGAGAGAGAGAGAGAGAGAGAGAGAGAGAGAAAGAGAGAGAGAGAGAATGGGAGGAAGAGAGTGTGCTTGTGCAAGCTACAAGTCAACCTCAGGTGTTGCTCCTCAGGTACCATCCACCTTACACTGTTTGCTTCAAAGACTCATTTACTTTATTTTATGTGTATCCTGTTTTGCCTACGTTTGTCAGTGTATGTGTGGTACCAGTGGAGGCCAGAAGAGGGCATCAGACCCCTGGTACTGGAGTTACAGTCCCTTGTGAGCCGCCATGTCGGGGCTACGTACTGAACCCCGGTCCTCCGGAAGAGCCATCTCTCCAGCCCCAACCTTGTTTTCTGAGATGGGGTGTCTTGCTGGCCTGGAGCTCACCGAGCAGGCTGTCCTGGCTGTCCTGGGATCTGTCTGTAGCTCCACAGCACTGGGATAACAAGAGCATATCACACTTCTGCCTTTTGTACAAGGCGCCCACTCCTGGGGATCGACCCCGGGTCCTCCTGCTTACAAAGCCAACACTTTACTGAATGAACCATCTCTCGAGTCCTTGTTGTATTAATTTATAAATGTTTTAGCATGAATCACTAGAAGATGAGCTTGATTTCATCTTCTCCTCCTCCTCCTTCTTTTTTGGTTTTGGTTTTTCAAGACAAGGTTTCTCTAGGTAGCCCTGGCTATCCTGGAACTCACTCTGTAGACCAGGCTAGCCTGAATTAGGGATCCTCATGCCTCTGCCTCTTAAGTATTGGGATTAAAGGCCTGCAGCACCAACACCCTGTGATAAGCTTCATTTTATGGGACAGATTATTCACCCCAGAGGTGGCTCCTTCCAGTTTCTCCCCTTCCTTCTTGGTTATAAAACATAGCTAATACACTCGTTGCAGAGGCGGTGTTTGCTGATGGCTTCTGGAAGTTGGGTGTTTTTGTTTCTGTTTGTCTCCACAGGCAGGTGCACCTTGGTAGTGACCACACCACTTTCAGGTATAGAAAAGAGCTCAGCGAGGAACGGCAGAAAGCACAGGACAAGTACAAGGTCAGCATGGCTGCGAATTCACTGTCATTTATTTCCCACGTCTTTCTCACTCCTGCTGTATGCGCGATTGCCAAATCAGGAGAAAGAACGCGCACAGAAAAGCTGAGGGACCACCGACCACTGAACGTCAGAGCGCTCGCTCGCCTTGCGTGTGTGAGGCCCAGGCTCAGTCCTGAGAGAAGGGCCTGGGGAGGAGAGGCCTGGCATAGGTCTGTGAAGGCAGGGGCCTGATCACACAGAAATTGCTAATTATGAGTCAAGGGTGTCTGTAGATGACACAAGAGACCTATGTTGGGTCTGCTGGGGACATTCAGAAGCCAGAGCAACAGTGAGTTCCATCTTAATAGAAAGCAAGAGTTAGCAGAGAGAACAAGACCTTCAAAGAAAGATGACTGAGACCCAGGCTGTGGTTCCGGATGTGAGGCACCTGTCCTGTGGTCCACAGAGCATGAAGAAGAGAGGCCCCAAACTGCTGTCAGGAGCCACCCCAGAGCTGAATGCCAAATATAGTCACGTGACAAGGCGCTAGGTACCCTAATAAAATTTTCCTGAAGATCAGAGAACAGAACAAGCCACTAGATTAAAAATAGAGACCAGACAGTGGTGACACACACCTTTAATCCTAGTGCTTGGCAGGCAGAGATCTCTCTGGATCTCTGTGAGTTCAAAGCCACCCTGGAATGAGATTGACTCAGTCTAGGAGAGAAACAGAGCCAGGCAGTGGTGGCACACACCTTTAATCCCAGCACTAAGAAGGAAATATGGCTGGGCTGAGAAAGGTATGTAAGGGGTGAGGAGATGGGAATTGAGGCTTTTAAGGCTGAGGGGTCCTAGAGGTAAGATGTGGCAGTGGCTTGTTCCTTTGTCTCTCTGATCTTTCAGCACTTACCCCCAAATCTGGCTCTGGGTTTTTTATTGTAAGACAGATTTAGTAATTCGTGTTACAGGCACTGGCATATGAATTATAGGGAACCCAGTTCACCCCCAACACTCCCCCCCCCCAACCTGCCCTGCAAAAAAATAAAAACCAGCAAAGCTTAGTAGTGTGAACTTCAGGATCTCAGTGAGTAGGAAGGATGTGGACATGGTTAATCTTGTTTTAAAGAGTTGTTTATTTGTAATTATATGCACCTGTGAGTGGGGTGCCCGTGGAGGCCGGAAGAGGGCTTCGGCTCCCCTGGAGCTGGAGTTCCAGACAGTTGTGAGCCACTCAGCACAATGTAGGCTCCTCTGCAAGGCCAGCAAGCACTCTTAGCAACCAAGCCACCTCTCAGGCCCCTGTGGCCAGCCTTTCGGGAGTTACCACCTTCTGGGCGTTCTTGCCTTTGGGGCATTACAATATGCTGTCCTATACAGAGTCCACACTGCAGGACCTGCAGTCAAGTTACAAAAAAAAGAGTCCTGTCTTTTGTGAGGGACTGATTCCTAGCTAGCCTGGGGCACTCTGTGAGGTGGAGGCAGGAGATAGAAGTTCAGGGTCATCCTCAAATACATAGTGAATTTGAGGCCAGCCTGGGCTACATGAAACCCTTGTATCTGTTAAAGCTCCCCATGTCGGTAAGAATAGTGAACACTTTAACCCGCCAGTACTCCATGGCAGGACACAGGTAACCCATTGTCCAGTTGGTTCCTACAAGCTTCATTTTTTTTTGTTTTTTTTTTCTTTGTTTGTTTTTGGGTTTTGTGTGTGTGGTGGTTTTTGTTTGTTTTTTTTTTTTCCAAGACAGGATTTCTCTGTGTAGTCCTGGCTGTCCTGGAACTTGATCTGTAGACCAGGTGGTCTCAGAGATCCACCTGCCTCTGCCTCCCGAGTGTTAGGATTAAAGGGGTGCGCTACCATTGCCCTGCTTCCTACAAGCTTTAAAGAGAAAGTTTTATGCATTTGTCTTTGACTTTAATGTGTCTATTCATATAAAAATCTAGCAAAAAAGAGGCGACCCTGTTTTTGAGGAAGAGTTTCAACGACTCGAGACTGAGCAGAGCAACAAGCGGGTCGTCCGTGAGCTGGAGGAGGTGAGTAACTTCCCTTCACTTGGCATCTAATCAAGTGCCAGTTCTTTAACTGTTCATTCCCAAAGGCACCAACAAGTTTTATAGAAACCCCTTCACTAGGAGGGAACAATTGCTTTTAGTGTGCTTATATTCCCAGGGTGCTGTCTTACTGGGTGTCTTCGTTTCCATTCTGACCAAAAGTAACTTCAGGAGCCTAGAGAGGTGGCTCTGTGGTTAAGAGTGCATGCTGCTCTCTCCAAGGACCTAAGTCTAGGTCCCAACATCCATGTCAGACAGCTAAAACCTGCTGGAACTCCAGCTCTAGTGTGTTAGATGCCCCCTTCTGGACACCACTGGCATCTCATTCACAGGAGCACACACCCACATACAGGCACATGATTTAAAATCAAATACATTCTTTATATAAAATGGCAGCTTGGAGGAGTGAAGGTTTATTTGGCTCACAGCTCTGGATCACACTCTGTTGTTGAGGGGACTAAAGGCAGGAGCTCCCAGGCAGGCCTGCCTGCCATTCCACACAGCATCACCTCTGACCACACACTCACTTCACAGCCAAGGAAGGACCCAGAACCGATGGAGGACACTTGCTGGCTGGCTCACAGGCAGGCTTACACTTAGCTTTCTTAAACAAGTTGGGACCACCTACGAAGGTGTGGTGCTGCCGAGGGTGAGCTGGGCCCTCATACCACTTAACAGTCAAGACAAGCTCCCGGACCCCCAACACTACCACCACCCCCAGACCTGGCACGGGGCAGTCAGATCCAGATGAATCCTCCTCTGGGACTCTCTTCTCAGATGTCTGTAGGCCATGACAAACTAAAGCTAACTAGGATACTATGTATTTGCAAGGAAAATGTCCAAACTTATAATCATGGTCTGGGAAGATGCTCGGTTGGTAAAGTGCAGGCCACGCAAGCTTGAAGACCCGAGTTCAAACCCAGCACCCACATAAAAAGCCAGATATGGTTGCCTGTGCCTTTAGCCCCAGCACTGGGGATACAGAGCCAGTCTATTCAAATTAGTGAGTTCTACTTTCAGCAAGACACTCTGTCCACCCCCCCCCCCAAAAAAATGAAGTGGGGGCTGCTGTGGGACGGTCTGTATGTCAAATTGCTCTGATTGGTCAATAAATAAAACACTGATTGGCCAGTGGCCAGGCAGGAAGTAGGTGGGACAAGGAGAGAGGAGAATTC